TTTATATTCGAATCTCTTCACCCAACACTTCTACTCGAAATGGAAGTAATCCCAACAAGTATTCACCCTATGTTGTTGAAAGCTAAAATGGATATGTAGTATAATTTCCCAAAATTGTATGAGAAGAACATAAATTTGCATTAAATTTCACTTATCTTTGGTAATCCAAAATTTTTTTTATTCAGCGTGGTCTGCAGTTTCGACCTCACATAGATCTTATCAGCACTACATGCGAAAACGAACGATGTAAGTGCAGTATGTCAGATTAATATGTTAACCACAAGTACACATGTCACATAAGACCATGGAACTCAGGGCAAATAAAAACTTCAAGGAAGTATATGTCAACTACTATATTACATTCATTAGTAAGATTAATGATGAAAAATCCCTTGTTGTGTAATAAAAATCTTGTAGAATATAAATATTTAAATAAAAAATAGAGTTTTCAGAAATAATCTTATGAAACTGATTAAGTATAAGTCATTTAAACTAAAAGAATATAAGAAAAATAAGAAAAATAAGAAAAATACTCAATTGGAATTTTAAAAAAATGATGTCCGTCTGATGATGTCCGTCATATGACGGACCAAAGCTCAGCACGTGTTCACCGGAATCGAAGGAGATTGACTCGGAAACAGCGTCAGCATGAATCTTCCAGTAAAGCTAATCGACAGCTGGTCAAGAGAAATTCGCCGTCGTCTTCTGGTGGAACCGACCTTCGAATCTCTTCACCCAAACAGCTGGTCAAGAGGAATTCGCCGTCGTCTTCTGGTGGAACCGACCTTCGAATCTCTTCACCCAACACTTTATACTCGAAATGGAAGTAATCTCAACAATTATGAAACAAGAGATTCCTCGAAACCTAACTTTTCTTCGTATAGGGTGAATACATCTTATATTAATATTTTACCTTTAAAATTCATACACTACTTACATTTAAAGATTAAGTAATTAGTTAATTAAAATAGCAAAATAGCGAATGCCTTTTCGACAATCCAGAATAAGAATGTGATATTGGCAAATTCCTGGACATCCTTGAAATCTATATTTCCTCTGAGACCCAATTACACTCGTGTTGATAAGTACAAGAGTCTAATGTGTCAATCTCACATGTTAAACTGTTATTTTGAGATGAGA